GGGGGAGGGGGGCTAGGCAGTTCCCCCCAATTATCTCTGGGAGACAAGAATGTCCTGGACTGGCTTAGGTGGCTTTAAAAACCAGCGGCCTTCATCTCCCACCCCACCTCCTCAGAGACTTCTCCCATCTCCCTGTGCCACCAACACTCTCTCGGGACAACCGCAGCGGCGCCAAGGACCGGAAACCCTCCCCTGACCGGTGTCAGACAGCGGACTGCAGTGGAGAAGGGATCAGGTGGCAGGGCGGAGCGTCCCGACTTCAAGCAGAGCGTACAAACCCACGCCGGTCCCTGACCCACTCACAGGGAAACTCGGCGATCCCGTTCTCCCTCTTGATAACCAGTTCAGGCTTTTGCAGCAGCCTGCCCACGCAGGTGCAGAGCCTGCCCAGGCTGTCGCAATGGTGCGTGCTCCTCAGCACCCAGATGGGACTGGCTCAGTCTACCACCACCTCAAATCTCGCTGGGAAACAGCAAAACATCTGTGCAGGGAGTGGGGGGACTTCCTCTCACATTTGCAAACAGTTAGCCACCATGCAGAAACAAACTAGAGGAGGAGGAATAGGCAGGAGAAATAAAACACGAGGGATAATGAGAGATTTTGCGGGGTGGAGAGGGTGTCAAGGAGGGAATGGGTACCACGCAAGAGAAGAGTGGTACCGTATTGTTCCAAGTATACGTTCCCCGACTAGCTGTAAGTCTATTCTTACCAAGGGCCACGTGGGATACCCATGGTTCCCACAGCCAAGTCCAGGGCATAGAAAGATAGCACAATTGTCACCTTCGGATCCCCGCCTCCTACTAATTATTGCAATGAAGCTTCTTTGCCCGTGGAGAGGTGTCTGGGAGAGGGTGGAAGAAGGTGTTTGGGGCAGGTTGGCTCAGAGCCCCCCCTAAGGTGGGGGATGAAGATGAATTTGGCACATTGAACCCCTTCTTCTCATAAGTGCTTCGAGATCCTTCGGTCAGTTCAGCTGGCACTGGCCCCTAGAGCCAGCAGAGGCGGGGTCTGACATCTCCCCACGCTATTTCTACAGATTTGTCCCCAAGGAGGCAAATGGGGTTCTCCCCGGCTGGTGGAATTTGGGGGATCCAAAAGGAAGGTAGAAGGGTTAGTTGAAGAGGGAGAACATTTTTTTTCTGTCTTTTTTTTTCTTCTTTTCTTACAAAGAGTCTAAGAAAAACTCGGCATGGGAGGGATGAGGAAGGGGGGGACCCAGTCTAGCTAAGTGTTCACAGACTCTTTTTTTTTCAATGCCTCTTGAGAGCCTTCTGCGAGATGGCCCGATCGCCTCTCCTCTCTCTGAGGTCCTCTCCCTCCAGAGCGGCTCAGTTCCAAGCAAGTTTGGCACTTTTCTTGTTTTAATCAATGGGGAAGTGAGGTGGGGGAGGGGCAAGGGGTGCGCAGCCGCAGGGGGGTAAGAGTTGAGTTGGGGAGGGAGACAGAGAGACAGGACAGACAACAATGGGAGACAGACACACGAAGCCAAAACAGAAAGTTCATAGGAAGCCAGAGAAAGGAAGTGGGAGATGCTGGGGTGAGCTGTGAGGGGTTGAAGGGCCAATGGGCAGGGACAGGGAGACAGTTCAACGCAGCAAACACTTATTAAGCACCTACCGGGTGCTGAGGAGGAGGGTGCAGGGAGGCCATCAGGCTCTTGAGAGCGGATGGGCCAGTGGGGTAGGGAGAGAGGCAGTGGGATTTCCAGTCATCCCCATCCCTGACGCCATGTCAGTGTCCCCTCTGGACAAACTGCAGCACAGAAGTTTGAGGTCAGATGACAGAAGGGCTCTCAAGGGATGGGGAAGACTGCAGAGCACGTTCCTTCCCAGGGTGAAATGGGGGGAAAGGTACAAGTGTGGCTCCTCACTCACGAACATGGTGAGGCAACTAACTCACGGAGCTAGCTGGCTACCGCGTGTGATAGCCCTGGTTGGAGGGGAGAGGGTCCCCAAGAAATGAGAATGAGGAGGTGGGGACACAGACACCCCAGGGAAACACTGTTCAGGAGGCCCAGCCCCCAGAGAGAGAGAGAGAAAGAGAAAGAGCTGAGCCAGCAGTGTGAGGGAGGGGAGAACCTGACTTGAAGGACTGGGATCCTGCCTCCCCTGAATGGTTCTACAGGAAGCATCATTGGTCAAGTCCAGGGTAGCTGAGGATGCAAATGAGATGCAAATGAGCACGTTCAGATTTCCCCACCCCCACTCCACTCCCAGGCACACACCTCCTAACTACCTCTCTCTGGCTTCTTCCCCTACTCTTGAGGATTTGTGGGGGTGGGGGTGGGGCAGGGAACTGTAGGAGGCTATCACAGCTAGGTACTGCAATACCCAGGCGTGAGTGGAGACAGTGGGAAATACTCTTAAGGTCTTTTTGAGGGGTGGAGGGGAACCATGGCCCACAGAGCCACCCTGCCTCCAAGAGCCACCCCCCCTCCCCGCCCCGCCTGCAGAAGATATGTACATCAAGTTACATCAAGAATTGTTTTGGCACAAAGATCTCCATTCGGGGTCAGTCTGGAGATTAGGGGTGGGAGGGGAGCGGACGAGTGGGGGTGGGGGGAAATGGGGCCTAGCCCTCCCCCACGGAGATGCACAGAGAACAATCACCTCCATGCCCCAGGGACAGCTTCCCCTCGGGTGGAAGGGCTGGGCGGAGAGTCAGTGCAAGGTACCCCAAGGGCTATTGCTTTCTAGGGATTTTCACATTTTGATTTCAGGATGGCCCTCTAGCGAGGAGAAAGGGGGTGTGTGTGTCTCTCCCCTGGCTTTGGGGGGGTGGGGATGGTCTCAGTGGCTTTTCTTCCCTCCTTTATTTACTTATTTGGAGAGAGAAAGAAGGAGGAGGAGGCCTGGCCCCCAAAGCCACAGAGAAGAGGAAGGTATGGAAGACCTGGGGTGGGGGTGGAGGGCAAATGGAGGAGAAAGTGGGCATGGGGTGCCCCTCCCCCAGAAATGCTGATGATGAAACTAGGGCTCTAGAGACCCTGCTTTGGGTGGGTGAAAGGAGCAAGGGGATCTTGATGGGGGTGAAGGTGGGTGGGTCTCAGCTATCCTAAATCCTAAAATTCCAGCACAGCAATAGGTGCTCAGAGCAGACCACAAAGACCTCACTCTCAGGGCTGCCAGGCCTGTTGGATGCCTTCTCAATGTCCCAGCTCCTCAGAGCCCACGGTGAGCCACACCAAAACGTCCTGACCCTTCAGACACCAGCTCACCAGAATGCCATGGAGCCCAAGCTCCCCCACAAAGCATCCCGGCCCAAAGGGCCCTACCCAAGCTCACTGGACCCTACGACCGAGCCACATGCTGGCCTGACAGAGTCGCGCGCGCACACACACACTGGGCTCATCAGACTCAATGGAACAAAGCCACGCAGACACAAGCATGCATACAAAAGGTGGGAGTGGGGGGAGGGGGGAAGGTCTTGAACAGTTTTCCACTATCTCCATCTTCCACCCACCCTGCTAGGGTGAGTTCAGAGACTTGGGGCGTTTGAATGGTGGCGCCCAACCCTAACTGTATTATTGGGTCTTTATATTCTTAAGAGTCTTCCAGGTGGGATTCGAGTCACCCTTAAACTCTTCCTGGGAAGATCGGCCGTGAGCCCATCTGGGAAGTGGAATGCTTCATCCCAGTGACATCCCAGGAAGTGACCTGGAGTATGTGCCTCCATGATCTCCCTGACCTTTGGGAAAGGGCTCCGCGAAAACACCATGGGGGACGCCTGCCCCTCTCTTCATCACAGCCAGTCGCCTCCGGTGAACTGCCTCCAGTGATGTCATCATCAAGTGCC